GAAGGAACAAACCACATAAATACATTACAACAACGCACTAGTTTCACATAAGCGTTTTCACAGTTTCACTGTTTGAAATTAATATCACACAGAGACATAAATACAGCCTGGCGTGTTGGCATATGTGGGGATTATTCTGAAGGGTTATGATGATATGCAGCATGCCAGGTCAGCGCACATGCGTACGGATGAGGATAATCACTGCTGAGTGCTGACCTACCACGTGATGTCATACCCATTACATCATCAGCACATAACCTGAGAGAGGGGGAGGGGTGATTACATCATCAGTGTGTGCCTGCGGGAACAGCTGCTGCCACCAGAGCAGCGCACGAGAGGAACACGAACACACACACACACAAACACACACACACACACGCACACACACACACACACACACATACATACAAACATACACACAAACAAACGAGAAAATCTCACAAAAGCTGATATTTCACGATCTGTTTAATACCGAAATCAAATATATATTATTTATGTATTATATATTTTGCATATATGAAATAAGGCCTATGATTTTTTTGCATTATTTTATTTTATTATTTTGAATGTTAATCATTTTAATAATTAATAATAATTTAATTAACATTAAATGAATGTTGTCTTTGCAATTACAAAGACATTATTTAAAAAATATATATTTTTACTGTATTTATAAAAAGATATATAAAATAATAAAAAATATTAATAACTATAACAGTAAATAAATAATTATTAAATAACACTGGTCGAAATGCAAACAATATTAAATTAAATTAAGCCTTTTTTAAATTATCATCTCATATAAGGTATATAATACAGTACATAACATTTTTCTTTTAGGTAGAAATATAACCTAGACATGTTCTTTCCAGGTCTCATAAGATCAGAGTCAGCTGCAAAAATAATCCATAGATTGACTGATATAAAACTGCAGACATCTCTCAGTATCTAATTCCTATATGAGCCCTCTCACAGATGTGTCATCTCTCTGGAGGCATGCTTTCACATTATCCACACACTACACCAACTCAGCGGGACCAGAGCACCGCAGCTCTCAAAGAGACTGAAGGGTGTTTGGTACCCACACATAAAAGCTTTCAGAGCGAAAAAAACAAAACGTTCTCACTACACAGCTGATGTGATTTTAAACAATTAATGTCACGAAGAGACCACGAGTCCTGATGCACGAGTCCTTCATGCGTATCTGAGAAATATCCAGAGTCTCACTCTGGACTCCAGTCCTACCATTTATTTACAGTACACAAAAAAAAAAAAAGAGAATAAGACTCTGATCTGCTTAAAAACCTATAGTGATCCTTTGTGTCTTAAGAAAAATGCTGTTCTATTAAACTTTCTACTCATCAAATAATCAAAAAATATATATATTATTGTATTATGGTTTACACAAAAATATTCGGCAATTTTTTCAACATTGATAACAATAAATGTTTCTTGGGCAGCAGGTTTATTAGAATGAAGCGGTTTATTAGAATGATTTCTAAAGGATCATGTGACACTGGAGTAATGATGCTGAAAATTCAGCTTTAATCACAAGAATAAATTACATTTTACAATGTATTACAATAGAAAACAGTTATTTTAAATTGTAATAATATTATTATTACTGTATTTTTGACCAAGTGAATGTAGCGGGAAGCATGAATTCAAGCATACATGCTTAATTCACTGGAAATTCAGAGCGAAAATCAATTTGATCTGTCTAAATACCACACATTGACTTCTTGGTTTAATACAAATACAATACAAATAATGCAAACCTCAAAGCTGCATGTCTTGCGGCGTTCTGAGATCTGACATTTTTTTATTATCTATACTGTGTAAATCTTTAGAAGGCAGTGGCATATTTAGAGAGATAAACAGTGAGGTTTACTCTCGCAAGGTTTTGTTCAATGGGAATTGTGATGACAAGGCTATATTTTCTGCAGATTTTCACGCAGACGGTGCTAACTAGGTCATCTGAGAGCGAGCGAGGTTCCCCACAGACGTAATCAAGGGGAAGTGGAGATGAATGCGTTTTCTAAATAAGGCTCTCCTGAAATACTTTCATAGCAAGCAGGTGAACGGAGCGAGTCACAGCTGTATGAACAGGTAAGTGTGTGTTTAATTCTCTATTAGGCTTGGTTGTGTTTTTATTATCTGTGTTTGTCCACACAGAAGAACTTTTTTTTTTACTTTTTTGATTGACTGTTCAAATTGCAAGTTATGTTAGCTGGCACGTCCACACTGGTAGTAGCTACATAAGTCCCAGAGGTTCCTCCATGATTTTAGCAAGATATGCTTTCCAATTTATTATGATTTCCAACAGGGAGCTACTCCAACATGAACACATTCATCCTAGAAAACACCCTAAAAAAATAAAAAAAAACAGGAAATATGCAACGCTTGTTGTGGTCATCACAAGTTGCACGGTTAAGTAAGGAATATGAACCTATCTGTATTTTATTATTTATTGTATTATTTAATATTAATGTTGGTAACACTTTATTTTAAGGTGTCCTTGTTACACGTTACATGTATTTACTATTATAACAACAATAAATTATGCATAATTACATGCAAGTAACCCTAAGCCAAACCCTAATCCTAAACCTAAACTTATAGTAAGTGCATGTAGTTAATTAATATTACTCACTACTTCAATGCATAATTACACTGTAACAAGGACACCTTAAAATAAAGTGTAAACTTAATGTTTTTATTAATATTGTGAACTAGTTTCTATTTTTAATATTTCATTTTTATTTTCATTTTAGGTTAACTTTTATTTAGTCGTGTCGTGTAGTTTTTTTCTTATTTCTATATAGCTGTATTTATGAATGCATTTAATTTCATTTTATATACATTTTAGTACTTAAACTTATTTATTTAATTTCTAATTCATTTGCAATTCTAATTTTCACTCAAGTTTTTCAAACGAAAATTTCTATTTTATTTTGTATCAGCTTTATTTCAAATTACGGACAATAGAAACAAGTGACTAATATGAACATGACAGCATTATTATTATTAATAATAATAAAAACACAATAACCCACTTGAGACACATTAACAAAACATTTTGGAAAAGAATAGAAACAACCTACTTGATTGTTTTTCTTTCCTTCTTCAGACTAAGATAGATAGATAGATAGATAGATAGATAGATAGATAGATAGATAGATAGATAGATAGATAGTGTGCTCATTATTATTATTATTCAGCTGCAGAACATCCAAACCCTTCTCCTCCATTCATGTCTTTTTTCTCCTCGTCTGTTTGCTGATGTGTTGCCGGGTCCGGCCCCTCAGCTATCCAGCCATGACACTGTTGCCATGACTACTCTCCAGCTCTCTCCGGCTGCGTCTCTATCTCACCCCTCACGCTTTCTGACACTGATGCAAGCCGACAGCTACACAGAAAAGCTTCTTGACTCTGTGTGTGTGTGAGTGTGCGTGTGCTAGAAACACCGTTCAACAATCACAAAACACCCCGAGTGACACACACTTCCTGTCAGCTCATGAATTATTAATTTGGACTTCAGTCTGTTCAGTTGTAACCCGGCTGACACACAAACGCTCGTGTACGACACCGATCTAGCGCTTCTGTGAAACCCCTCTGAGCTACTGAATCAAGAAGAGATGGAGAGATCTCCAGGACATCACAGCATTCAGATTAATACACAAAATACAGCTGCTTTTGAAGGTTAGGTGTGTAAAATTTCCCAATGTTCAAATGTTTTTGTGTGACAGATTTTTCAGTACTGGGACAAAAAAGGCTAGCGAACAGGACAAAATTGGTTAATGTATAAAGAAATTATAAACAAACCAACAGCAAATAAAGAGTTAAAACACAAATGTGCCAATTTCTTAGAAATGCAATTTTTGTATGTACGATGTCAGGTTCAGGTTTTTTTCTTTTATTTTTTTTTTTAAACAAAATTTGAAATGTATTGATGTGGTGTAACACCTTGAATACATGTGAGGGAACACATCTTAATTATTATTTAAAAATCATTCATTATTAATCATCATTTTTTAAATATATTTTTCAAGGTAAAATGTATTTCAACAAATCCTGAATTAATAAATAATTCATTAAAATAAAATTTAAAAATAATTTAATTATTGTAACATTTAATTTTATGACAAAAATATTAAAACGTTTTCCCTAGACCTTGAATAAATGTGAGTGCAGGCATATTCATTCTTTTCAAAAAATAAAATGAAATGAGGAAAAAAAAATAAAATAAATAAAAAATAATAAATAAATAAATTATATACATAATATGAGGAATTAATATTCTTTTATTGATATCTTTTTTTTTTTGCACCAATACATTTTATAACCTGAACTAACATTGTCTTCTCTTAAGAAATAAAAGTATACTTAATTATAATTAATTATTATTTTAAGAGACTTGACACAGTTATGATGGGTTTGCAGAGGTCCTCTCTATATCAGTTTCCCCTGCAAGTTACTATATGTTGTTTGCACCAAAAATAAGTTAAAAATAAGGAAATTAGATAAATTATTCAAATAAAATATAAATTATATAAATTACATATAAAGCACATCTTTATATATCATTTCACAATTATTTTTACTCTTTGAAATACGGTTATAGTTCTGCCGAATGCACTGACAAACATATTCATGGTCAACATAATTCCTTTTTTGTCTGCCATTCATTCAGTTTGGGAACCCTGTTTGAAATCCATCATTATTTTAGCAATTTCCTAGAAATTACACAATTCAGCTTTAACCGTCATGATCAAATGCTCTCGCACACAAACAAGACTACAGTGAGATAATCACAGCAGTCTGTCAGTGGGGTCAGGTGTCTGTACAAATATACATCTTCACTCATACACAGCATATGTGTGCTTATATAACCCACATCATTCACCAACACGAGGAAAGAATGAAGCGACACACCGTCCCGACACAAACCAGACAAACCCAGGCGTGCAGGTCAGAGGTCAGAGGTCATGGGTACACACCTTGGCATTAATATAGGGGTCAAATGGGCCACAGCGTTTGAACTCAGTGTGGTCTAGAGTGCTCTGGGAGAGGGGAGAGAACAGGAAGGAGATGTGTTCAGCCTCACACACACACAATGAACACAACGACTGTTAATGAATGACATGATCAAACAGGCAAAAGAAACCACAGGCTGGCTTACAGTCCGTTGGATGATAAACGTCACATGAGTGAATATGTGTTAAAAGTACATCTAACTAGAATTAATCAATGTGAACGTTTTTGAAAATGAAATTAACCATCAAATGTTCATTTGACCAATCGAACGAAGGAGAATAAACCAACCTTATGAAATGATGATAATAATAATAATTCATAATAAATCATTTTTGGCTGCCGTTTCATTTCATTTTGAGACATTTCATGCTATACTAAGTCAAGCAAAAACAGAGATGTTAAATGAAAACTGTGATTATTATGTTACTGAATAATATTGAGTGCATCACTGCAGAATAATAAATGCATGAAAGCCTCTCCAAATTATGCAAAACGAGAGCATTAGCAGACAGGCCGTTCCTGCTTTCCTCTGGGGACATTTCAGACAATACAAACCAACCCTGTATAATAATAGGCAAGTACAGGTGCACATGAATATTCAGCTTCATCTGCTGAAGAATGTCACAGTGTTGGAAATAAACAGGCAACGGCTTCATAACAGGACGAGAGTGCAGAAAACTGCTTTCCTAACGTCAGCCGGAAGCGGATCCTGACACAATAAACGTCAGCATTACTCCGGCAATTTCTAAATGTTCCTACAGGTAAATACTGTTTACATTGACAGTTGTTTAAATGTATGATAGCTGGAACTTTGTGGGGGTGGAAACACATATTATCAATCAATGCCTAAGTTTGCCATGGAATACTAGCATAGCACTAACTTAGCCCTGTGATAAATAAACATCTTTAAAAAGAGCATTACAGAAACAATATACTTAAATGAAAATTACCCCATGATTTATTCACTCTCAAGCCATAGGTGTATATAACTTTCGTCTTTCAGACGAATACAATCGGAGTTCTATTAAAAAATGTCCTGGCTCTTCCAAGCTTTATAATTGTAGTGAATGGTTGTTGAGATTTTGAAGCCCAAAAAAGTGTGCCCATCCATCATAAAAAGTGCTCCACACGGCTCCGAGGGCTTAAAAAAAGGCCTTCTGAAGGCATTTGTGTAAGAAAAATATCCATATTTAAAACTTTATATACTGTAATCTCTAGCTAGGATGTCAGAAAGTCATATACACCTAGGATGGCTTGAGGGTGAGTAAATCATTGGGTATTTTTCGTTTTTGGGTGAATGAAATGAATGTAATGTTTTTGGACACTTAATTGTATGTCAACTGCAATTAAACGAAAATTATATAAAATATTAATTTATATTAAATGCAATTAGTTGAACTTTTCTGGGTTTTAGTTGTGCTTTTCTAACCCACTTAAGTAGGACTTGAGTACATCTTTTCATAATTCTACTACACATTATTCCAAAAATATGTGTTGGCTCAAATAAATAAATAAATAACGCAAATGCTCGCCATCTTTTTGCGTTATGACAAGTTCATAATAAAATTATGTTTAACCAACAAACGACATTTACAAGTTAGAGGAACTTAATTTGTATTTTAGCATACACAATTTAATTCGAAGTTGATTACTCAATACATAAATAAATAAATAAAAGTTATGTTTCTCCTGTTGTGGCCCTGGAACCAATTGATCTTAATTTCAATTAAAGCCAGCAGCTAGAATAGGACATGTGAAATATAACTTATGCTGTGCGTGTGTATTACGCATGTAAATTTAATGAACATGTAAGATATAACTTGTGACTGGCATTAGCGCAGTCATTGCTCATATATTCAAAGTAGTGTTTACCTACATGTAAACCATTGTGTCTCTCCAGCACAATGATAACCACAAAACCTTCAACATAACAGAAATTATTTTAAATGTAACCAAACAGTTGCTGGTAGCCATTGATTTCAGTGTTTTTTTTTTTCTCTCCATACTATTGAAATCAATGACTACCAGCAACCGTTTGGTTACCAACAGTCTTCAAAATATCTTCTTTTATGTTCAACATAAGAAAGAAACTCAAATAGGTTTGGAACAACTTGAGAGTAAGTAAATGATGACAGAATTTTCATGTTTGGATGAACTATTCCTTTAAACGTACTTTTTTCACAGTGAATACTATCTTACTAATACTATACTACTACTTAAGTGCTATTATACTACTATGCTATAAAAACAATATGCATGAGAGTACTATAAACATTTTAAACAGTGCACTACACTATTGTCACATGAACTGTACATTAAATGCTCTGGGAGAGGGGAGAGAACAGGAAGGAGATGTGTTCAGCCTCACACACACACAATGAACACAACGACTGTTAATGAATGACATGATCAAACAGGCAAAAGAAACCACAGGCTGGCTTACAGTCCGTTGGATGATAAACGTCACATGAGTGAATATGTGTTAAAAGTACATCTAACTAGAATTAATCAATGTGAACGTTTTTGAAAATGAAATTAACCATCAAATGTTCATTTGACCAATCGAACGAAGGAGAATAAACCAACCTTATGAAATGATGATAATAATAATAATTCATAATAAATCATTTTTGGCTGCCGTTTCATTTCATTTTGAGACATTTCATGCTATACTAAGTCAAGCAAAAACAGAGATGTTAAATGAAAACTGTGATTATTATGTTACTGAATAATATTGAGTGCATCACTGCAGAATAATAAATGCATGAAAGCCTCTCCAAATTATGCAAAACGAGAGCATTAGCAGACAGGCCGTTCCTGCTTTCCTCTGGGGACATTTCAGACAATACAAACCAACCCTGTATAATAATAGGCAAGTACAGGTGCACATGAATATTCAGCTTCATCTGCTGAAGAATGTCACAGTGTTGGAAATAAACAGGCAACGGCTTCATAACAGGACGAGAGTGCAGAAAACTGCTTTCCTAACGTCAGCCGGAAGCGGATCCTGACACAATAAACGTCAGCATTACTCCGGCAATTTCTAAATGTTCCTACAGGTAAATACTGTTTACATTGACAGTTGTTTAAATGTATGATAGCTGGAACTTTGTGGGGGTGGAAACACATATTATCAATCAATGCCTAAGTTTGCCATGGAATACTAGCATAGCACTAACTTAGCCCTGTGATAAATAAACATCTTTAAAAAGAGCATTACAGAAACAATATACTTAAATGAAAATTACCCCATGATTTATTCACTCTCAAGCCATAGGTGTATATAACTTTCGTCTTTCAGACGAATACAATCGGAGTTCTATTAAAAAATGTCCTGGCTCTTCCAAGCTTTATAATTGTAGTGAATGGTTGTTGAGATTTTGAAGCCCAAAAAAGTGTGCCCATCCATCATAAAAAGTGCTCCACACGGCTCCGAGGGCTTAAAAAAAGGCCTTCTGAAGGCATTTGTGTAAGAAAAATATCCATATTTAAAACTTTATATACTGTAATCTCTAGCTAGGATGTCAGAAAGTCATATACACCTAGGATGGCTTGAGGGTGAGTAAATCATTGGGTATTTTTCGTTTTTGGGTGAATGAAATGAATGTAATGTTTTTGGACACTTAATTGTATGTCAACTGCAATTAAACGAAAATTATATAAAATATTAATTTATATTAAATGCAATTAGTTGAACTTTTCTGGGTTTTAGTTGTGCTTTTCTAACCCACTTAAGTAGGACTTGAGTACATCTTTTCATAATTCTACTACACATTATTCCAAAAATATGTGTTGGCTCAAATAAATAAATAAATAACGCAAATGCTCGCCATCTTTTTGCGTTATGACAAGTTCATAATAAAATTATGTTTAACCAACAAACGACATTTACAAGTTAGAGGAACTTAATTTGTATTTTAGCATACACAATTTAATTCGAAGTTGATTACTCAATACATAAATAAATAAATAAAAGTTATGTTTCTCCTGTTGTGGCCCTGGAACCAATTGATCTTAATTTCAATTAAAGCCAGCAGCTAGAATAGGACATGTGAAATATAACTTATGCTGTGCGTGTGTATTACGCATGTAAATTTAATGAACATGTAAGATATAACTTGTGACTGGCATTAGCGCAGTCATTGCTCATATATTCAAAGTAGTGTTTACCTACATGTAAACCATTGTGTCTCTCCAGCACAATGATAACCACAAAACCTTCAACATAACAGAAATTATTTTAAATGTAACCAAACAGTTGCTGGTAGCCATTGATTTCAGTGTTTTTTTTTTTCTCTCCATACTATTGAAATCAATGACTACCAGCAACCGTTTGGTTACCAACAGTCTTCAAAATATCTTCTTTTATGTTCAACATAAGAAAGAAACTCAAATAGGTTTGGAACAACTTGAGAGTAAGTAAATGATGACAGAATTTTCATGTTTGGATGAACTATTCCTTTAAACGTACTTTTTTCACAGTGAATACTATCTTACTAATACTATACTACTACTTAAGTGCTATTATACTACTATGCTATAAAAACAATATGCATGAGAGTACTATAAACATTTTAAACAGTGCACTACACTATTGTCACATGAACTGTACATTAAATTTAGCATGTGATGTCAAATCATAACATCAAAGAAAAAAAAACACTTGAATTTTATTCCAAGCTTGCATTGAAAATTGCACTCAATGGAAATGTCAGTGTTTATATTCAGATATTGGTATTTATTGATTCTGCACCTGAATGTGGTTAATCGGCAACTATAGTATCCTAAAGTTTACTGACATGGTATTAATTCAAACTTTAGCAGCTGATGCAGACTACTTTGTAGTCTGGATCATACTATGGATCATACTATGTCATCTTCAACTTCACACCTAAAAAAACGATTTAAAATTCACCCAGATGTGTTATGAGTAAAAATAAACTACTATTTTAACTCGTAACTCGTCTGGGTGAATTTCAAATCATTTTTTAGGCTTGTATTAAGGGTGAGATGTCACTGAACTCATGTTTAGCTTTATCTTTACATGCACACACACACACACTCAAAGTGTAAATGAGAGCAGTGTGAAGAAGCTGCAGGCAGAAGTGACAGTCTTCCAGATAAACTGCAGCTATTCTTGAGACGTGTCAAAAAAAGTCTAAGCTTGAAACTACTGAATTCACACAGTCAACAAAAATGTGCATATTTACTGCACAATTTAACGTCTACAGGCAGTATTTATTCTGACTCGCCTTTCAGTTTGAAAAATCCTCTCTTCCTCTTTACTACTAGTCATAGCACAAAATAAACATGAATTTCATCAGAACACTGCTGCCCATAGACATTATGCTGTAAATAAGCCAGACTATGCCTTTGATCTGAGGTGAAGGCTGCTCTGTGTCGGGTGCTCAGACCTGCTCATTGAGTTTGGGGTGAGATGGACCCTGATGGATGAGGAGTTTGACGATTCGCTGATCTCCCTTCCACGCCGCCAGGTGCAGAGGGTAACAGCCCTTGTTATCAGCGATGTTCGTCAGAGCCTCGTTCCGCAGAAGTACTTCCACCACCTCACTGAGAAAAAGAGAGCGATACATAAACCTTTCATGTAAATAAATTCATGGGGTCCAAGGTCATCAGGAAACAGGACTCACCTGTGGCCATTTAAAGCAGCGTGGTGTAGAGGTGTGTATCCAGTGCTGTCCACACAGTTCACATTTGGGCCCCTCCAGATGCTGTCAAAAAAAAAAGAGCAGACACATATTTGTAATGTTGCCTGCTAATGCCAACATTGCAGTTTTTCATTTACTATCAGAATATTAGAGTGGTTTCTGAAGGATCATGTGACACTGAAGACTGGAGTAATGATGCTGAAAATTCAGTTTTGCATCACAGAAATAAATGTCATTTTACGATAAATTCGAATAGAAAACGGTTATTTTAAATTGTAATACTATTTCACAATTTTACTGCTTTTACTGTATTTGTGATCATAAATACAGCCTTGGTGAGCAGAAGGCACTTTGCAAAAACATTTTAAAAATAATTATTCCAATCTTTTGACCAATAGTGTATTCAGTGACCTGTAAAATGACCTGTTAATAGCAGTGTTCCCACTCTTTCTGATCAATGAATTTCCATGACTTTACCATTATTTTTTTTAATCTTTTGTGAATGTGAAAATTTTAAACAAAGACAAAATAAGCTTTAAAATAAACTAAAACTACTCAAAATCCAGATATTTCTCATATTTTTCCACTCAACTGTTTTTTTTTTATAATTATGATAATTATTTAAAGATATTTCTCATATTTTCTCACTCAAATGTTTTTTTTTTTTTTTTATATAAATATGATAATTATTATAATTATAAAAGTGTGATTTCTACACCTGGAAAAATCATATAAATTGAGCAACTCCATGTGTATTTCAATTTCATGTGTATTTTGTGCATTTTTCTAGTTATGCCAAGTTGTATTTTTTTTCCCAAATAGAAATAAATAAATAAATTCTTATTCAATAAATTAAACAACTAAACAAAAGTCCCAGGACTATTGAATGTTGTTGTGGGCAATGTGGGGCTTTGGAGTCAAAAAGTTCAGAGCCACTGAGTTTCATTCATTTGTCATTTGATTAATTTAAAACTGGTTCCCTACCATTTTTGCCCAATAATTTTCCATGACTTTTATCATGATTACTGAATAAGAATCATAAAATTATTTGCCGAAGAGAATGTCCATTTATCAGCTACTAAATGTCAATTTTAAAAAAAAGAAAACCTGAATGTGGCTCAGTTAAAGATTCAGCTTTTTACCAGTGGTCTCAGACTTTTGGACCCTAGTGTTTATGAGCACCCCACACTGTTCAGTTGACCATTTGTGTCTCTTGCGACGCTAGAACGCTGTATGTCAATGGTAATTACATGTATTTGCAGAGGCGTTAACCACCCACTACGCAAACCCATCAGGGAGTCGATTCTAATTGCCCACCCCCTAACTTTTAATAAACGCGGGTGACCGCCAGACAGTTTACGACAGCTCTGGGGAATTGCGTAAAAGCCACACTCTTAATCCACAAGAGCTATTCATTTCCTTGATTGTGCAGCATATAATGCCACCCATCTCACTCGGCAGATATACCGCTGATCCTATTGTCTAAGAAATCACAGAATCTGGGTCAGGAAAGTTCAGAGCGTATGCTTTAGCGTTGCCTTTTTTAAAGTATTTAATCGCAATTTGTCTTCTTCACTTTGCATGGGATCTTAACAACCAGCAAGCACAGCAAAGTCAAATCCAATTCCATAATATGACTTTACACTTTTGTAAAAATCAATGTAGTCAGTCATTTCTTGGTTAAAGTCACTGAACGCAGCACGGTTTGTTTACCTGCGGGTCTAGCATGCACTGACACCTGTGTTCACTTGCCATTAGCCATCAGAGCCAGACGCCCCGCTTTGAGGTGTGAGTAGATTATGAAGTAGTCTATTACCTTTGAGAGGGCTGTGTACTGTGGTGCTGGAGAGATTATAGGTCGACCCATGTACCGCCGTCGCATGGATAAATGGCTGTGGCTCACAGGGACTGTCACAGAGGGATCTCGCTCAAGGTCAGAGGTACAAACACAGAGGTCACGGTGCAGATGGATAGAGAGATACTCTGCGGCAAAAACACTCTGTTTGATAAGATAAATGTATCTGCTGTAATAGTTGTGAATGGCATGGATAACTATGATGTGAAAATCCATTTTGCTCTCTGAGCTATTCTTTTGAAATAGTTCAGGTGGTATGGATGATTTTTTTTTAATAATAGATTGAAACATTTTATGAAATATTAATCTCAGAAAATTCTGAAATGAAAGCCCTATCAGGGTTTATTTAAGAGCATCAAATTCCCATGATTCTATTTGACCCAGTCTTGTGTGTGTTTATTCTCGTTTTAGGAGATTTGCTGCGTTCTGGACGGATCACTGGATTGACCGTAAATGGAGGCTGGTCTGCCTGGGGGCCTTGGAGCCAATGTAGTCGGGACTGTAGCTCAGGTGTCCGAAACCGCAAACGCACCTGCTCCAACCCCAAACCCAAATATGGAGGAATCACCTGCCTCGGTCCTGCCCAAGAGTTCCAGGAGTGCAATACTACGCCATGTCCAGGTTAGTACCCCTCATACAGTCCACATACATTTTCCAACTTTTTCTATTCATAGTTTTGTGACTTAAACAGCTTCTCCAGACACTGATTTATCCACTTTTTTCCACTGTCTGAAATTAATTGCATTTATAAATATTGTTTATTTGAACTGATAACTAGAAATTTAGTTTTTATTAGTATTATTAGTAGTAGTAAAATAATAAATAAATAAATAAAACAAAACATCTGTGTTTATTTTTTCAACTAAGGTAAATAAGCCAAGACTTAAAAATACACACTCTAATATTTTTATTAGTAGTAGTAAAATAATAAATAAATAAATAAAACAAAACATCTGTGTTTATTTTTAACTAGGTATCAACTAAGGTTTTACGCTTGATCTGTTTTTGATCTATTTAAAAAAAAAAAAAAAGTAGAATATATTTGGTCTCATTCCCATCTTTTCCATCCAAACATGAAGATTTATGCAAGCAAAATTATTATTTTTTTAAACATTGCAGAGTAATTTTGATATGGTTTGATATTGCTTTGTTAGAAAATGACCATGAAGGTTTCATAAAGTTTTAAGCTCAAAAGAATTTAATTTAATTCTAATTTGATTTTTAATTTAATTGTAAGCTAATTCTCAGATTATATTTGTTCTGAATTTTATCATTTTTATAATGTCGAATATAATATCTTTCTCATGAATACTGAAAAAAGTTTTTTTTTTTTACTTGCATGACATTTTTTAGCAGTTCATGTACAATTTAAAAATTACATTTTTAATAAAAAAAATAATAATTAGTAATAACTTGACAGTTTTTTTGTTTTTAGTAGTACAATTTCGAATTTTTTATTTAATAACAAATATTAAAAAGGAGCAAATGTATAATAACTTGGTAACTTGATAATTTTGATAATTGATAATTATCTTGATAATTAACTTGATAATTTTGAAATGTTTGCACACTCTGTAATTAATGAGAAGTTACTGATTAGATTTTGAATGCATTATTCAATGCATTCAATTCCACTGAACATTCAGGACAGATTTTGTGATTATGATACACCGATCCAGCTCCTGTATCACTGGCATCTCAAGATAACCTGTAAAGGCATTTACATTCATTCAGAGGGCTATTTTTAAATAAATTAAATGCCACATTCAGACTAATTTAATTTCAACATGAGCATCCACAATTCCCTCACAGCATTGCTTGTACTGAACAACAAAACAACCAACTCCTTGTCTGTTCTCAAACACACACTGGACCTCACTGATAACAGCCCAAGGCTCTGTACTCGACATAAATATGTTGACGGACTGGAATAATTTCTCTTGCTGTAGCTGTACACATCTTGTGTAGGATACAGGAGCTGTGAGGAGAAGAGGCCCTAGCTTGAAGAGCAGAGCGATCACGTGACGTGCTGCATGCACTCGCTCACTGTCAAGACAAAGAAGCACAAATGAAGACACAAAGACACAGACAAAAGAGGAAGAGGAAAGGAGAAGCCGGTGGCAGAGAGGCTCTCAAACTGTGCTGCAGGCTCCACCTCTCTCGGCTTTTGAAGATGAGGACAAAAAAACAATATTAAATTGATCAAATGTGTCAGTGAATGCATTTATAATATTACAAAAACATTTCTATTTCAAATAAAATATGTTCCTAACCTTCTATTTTTTTAATCATAAAATATCACTGTTTCCACAAAAATAATAAGCAGCACAGCTGTTTTCAACATTGTAATCTTTTGTGAATGTGAAAATTTTAAACAAAGACAAAATAAGCTTTAAAATAAACTAAAACTACTCAAAATCCAGATATTTCTCATATTTTTCCACTCAACTGTTTTTTTTTTATAATTATGATAATTATTTAAAGATATTTCTCATATTTTCTCACTCAAATTTTTTTTTTTTTTTTTTTATAAATATGATAATTATTATAATTATAAAAGTGTGATTTCTACACCTGGAAAAATCATATAAATTGAGCAACTCCATGTGTATTTCAATTTCATGTGTATTTTGTGCATTTTTCTAGTTATGCCAAGTTGTATTTTTTTTCCCAAATAGAAATAAATAAATAAATTCTTATTCAATAAATTAAACAACTAAACAAAAGTCCCAGGACTATTGAATGTTGTTGTGGGCAATGTGGGGCTTTGGAGTCAAAAAGTTCAGAGCCACTGAGTTTCATTCATTTGTCATTTGATTAATTTAAAACTGGTTCCCTACCATTTTTGCCCAATAATTTTCCATGACTTTTATCATGATTACTGAATAAGAATCATAAAATTATTTGCCGAAGAGAATGTCCATTTATCAGCTACTAAATGTCAATTTTAAAAAAAAGAAAACCTGAATGTGGCTCAGTTAAAGATTCAGCATTCAGAATCTTTATGCAGACCATAACCAGAAAGAATAACATTCAGTATTAAAATGTACAGAAATTCTCCAGTCCTGGAAATAAAAATCTGAATCCCTCCGATTCATCCATTATTAAAGCGAGTCTGTTAATTGTTTTACTTTTTTTTTGTGGTGTACAGACAGAAACGGCAACTAAAGGCTGCTCAGAAGAGCCTGGATTGTGGAGCTGTTCCTTT